CAGCCATTCACTGTATGAAACATGCAACACAACAGAGACGCAGCTTAACGAGACATTCACATTACTTAAACTGCAACGCAACGAAAAACCAATTCAAACAATTGCTGCATGCTACATGCCAATGTGGGAGAAGCATTCACTGCATGCGACAGGACTAAAGTGGAGAGACATTCATTGCGTGTTACAAGACTATAGTGGAGAGGCATTCATTGCGTGTTACAAGACTATACTGGAGAGACATTCATTGCGTGTTACAAGACTATAGTGGAGAGGCATTTATTGCGTGTTACAGGTCTAAAGTGGAGAGACATTCATTGCCTGTAGTGTTACATTGCGCGTGTTACAAGACTATAGTGGAGAGGCATTCATTGCGTGTTACAAGACTATAGTAGAGAGACATTCACTCTATGCTACAGGGATAGTAGAGAGACATTCACTGTGCATGTTACATAGATAGGTAGAGAGACATTCACTGTATGTTACATAGATAGTTGAGAGACATTCACTGCATGTTACATAGATAGTAGAGAGACATTCACTGCATGTTACATAGATAGTAGAGAGACATTCACTGTATGTTACATAGATAGTTGAGAGACATTTATTGCGTGTTACATAGATAGTGGAGAGACATTCACTGCATGTTACATATATATTAGACAGACATTAACTGTATGTTGCATAGACATAGATAGTAGAGAGACATTCACTGTATGTTACATAGATAGTAGAGAGACATTCACTGTATGTTACATAGATATAGTGGAGAGACATTCACTGTATGTTACATAGATAGTAGAGATAGTACATAGATAGAGAGAGACATTCACTGTATGTTACATAGATAGTAGAGAGACATTCACTGTATGTTACATAGATAGTAGAGAGACATTCACTGTATGTTACATAGATAGTAGAGAGACATTCACTGTATGTTACATAGATAGTAGAGAGACATTCACTGTATGTTACATAGATAGTAGAGAGACATTCACTGTATGTTACATAGAGAGTAGAGAGACATTCATGTAGTTAGATGTTGTTATATAGATAGAGATTCATTCACTGTATGTTACATAGATAGTAGAGAGACATTCACTGTATGTTACATAGATAGTAGACAGACATTCACTGTATGTTACATAGATAGTAGAGAAACATTCACTGTATGTTACATAGATAGTAGAGAGACATTCATTGCGTGTTACATAGATAGTGGAAAGGCATTCACTGTATGTTACAGGACTATAGTGGAGAGACATTCACTGCATGTTACATAGATAGTAGAGAGACATTCACTATACGTTACATAGATAGTAGAGAGACATTCACTGTATGTTACATAGATAGTAGAGAGACATTCACTGTATGTTACATAGATAGTACTGTAGAGACATTCACTACATAGATAGTTACATTCAATGTATACATAGATAGTAGAGAGACACATTCACTGTATGTTACATAGATAGTAGAGAGACATTCACTGTATGTTACATAGATAGTAGAGAGACATTCACTGCATGTTACATAGATAGTAGAGACACAATTCACTGTATGTTACATAGATAGTAGAGAGACATTCACTGTATGTTACATAGATAGTAGAGAGACATTCACTGTATGTTACATAGATAGTAGAGAGACATTCACTGTATGTTACATAGATAGTAGAGAGACATTCACTGTATGTTACATAGATAGTAGAGAGACATTCACTGTATGTTACATAGATAGTGGAGAGAGACATTCACTGTATGTTACATAGATAGTAGAGAGACATTCACTGCATGTTACATAGATAGTAGAGAGACATTCACTGTATGTTACATAGATAGTAGAGAGACATTCACTGTATGTTACATAGATAGTAGAGAGACATTCACTCTATGTTACATAGATAGTAGAGAGACATTCACTCTATGTTACATGGATAGTAGAGAGACATTCACTGTATGTTACATAGATAGTAGAGAGACATTCACCGCATGTTACATAGATACTAGAGAGATATTCACTGCATGTTACATAGATAGTAGAGAGACATTCACTGTATGTAGCACTCAAAGTAACGGAAACCCTTTCACCAAGCAAAACATGAAGTTTAACCTTTTGACATTCACCGTTGGTCATGTGCAGTGTACACCTATGTACATCACAATACACTGTCGCCAGCTCATATTAGACCTCTCATCTATGTACATCCCCACTTCCAACATACCTACCATGCATAACGCAAAGCCTACAACAGTCGCACGCCAGCAATGTACACCATTTACATTGTGACCTTCCTTCAAGTCTCTGTATCATCTCAAATAGTTCTTCTTCTCAGTCTTTCCAGCAGACGTTTCTTTTGTAATTTGATCCACTTTCTGACCACCATTTCCTATTTTTGTAAAGCAAATGTCATTTCTGACATTTCTGTATACATCTCAAAGAGCACAATTCTGTGGAGAGGAGTTATCAGCTTCCGAAATGCATTACATCGATGTGATCCCCTTTGAGACTGTATAATGACGAGAAGCAAATCTCGAAACAACGCGAGAACAAGGAATGTTCTTCATTAACGTTTCGTGTATTGCTGCTGCTCCTCAGAAAATCTCATTTGTAATTTTAGACCTTATTAAGTCAGAAAACGTCACATAAAGCAAGCCCATTTAATGGCATTGAATCACATAAATATATTCTCCACATGTGAAGCAGAAGATATATCCTAAAACCTGTAACAATACAGTTAGTGCGTTTTAGTAGACTCTGGCAATTAGGCTGTCGGCACTGAGAGTCAGCACAACAATTTAATAGTGTTATCAGAACGTATAGACTACAATAAAAACTATCAAGAACGTGGCTGCGAAATAATAGCTCTGTTCCGGTCCGCCTTTACACAGCTTACTCCGAGTTCTGACACCTAGACATAAAAAAGCTTACTCGTTGACAATAATTATTTTTTAACTCGACAACTTTGACTTGCGTTTTGTTCGTTGCTTGTAGTGTGATAAGGGGGATGGGGGGATACCCCTTTCCACTATGTTTTTCAACATCTTGTGAACCAGTCCAATCTCTCACTTGTATACATTGATACGTAAATAACTCATCATCATGACGCATGTTTATGTGTATGTACATTTGTAAATATTGTATATTCTTTGCTCTTGTACCACCGATGGTGGTTTTGTGAGAATAAAGAAGTTGAAGATGAAGCTAAAGAGGCTTGCATGGGCGTGTGTACGTGTGTGTGTGTGTGCCCATGTGTACGTACATTTTACTATATGTGCATGTGTATGTGTCTGTATGTGTCATGTGTGGTTGCATTGCTCTGTGTGTGTGTTTGTGTGTGCGCGTGCGTGCGCACAGACGACCGTCTGTCTTTGGGCAGAACATAACAGTACATTGTCAAAACAAAATGTGTATCACTGTATAGATTGAGGGTAACGATGTCGATTAAAACACTCTTACACCACGGTGGCCAGTGGGCTCCATACCTTCGTCGTACTAAGTGGATACTCTATGTACATTGAGCCAGATTATGTGGAAACTGATTCTCCATCCATTCCGCCGCATAGATATACCTATCCTATCGTTGTCCCACGTGTACAGAGAGTAGATCATGTCCACTGGGAATGAGGCGAAAGTGCCACACTATCATTCAGGGCCATTATCGCGTATCGATGTCTGGGTCTCATATGGTTTAGTATATGCCACGTAATCAATATCGATCGTTCAACAACTTATCATAATTGCTATTTGTGTCCGTTCTCGAACTCGGGCTGCGCTATCTCTCAGGCAGGAGAGGAGGAGACTAAAGTAACGTGTTTCACATTGTGTTTGCTGAGCTACGTGGACATTAATGAATGTTGTTTAATGCCGTAGTTGGTGATATCATATTTATGTCACGACAAACAGCAGTTGACTGAAAACCTAAGCAGTGACTGGAGTAACATCATTCATCACACCAAGTCACACAGCCTGGTCATCCAATCCTGATTTGATTTTACGATTAAGACAATAATATTTGTCTGTCTACTGTCTCTCTGACTGTCTGCTCGTCTGTCCGTCCGTCCAGTTTACTGTTACTCTCATGTTTACCTATGCTCGACTTGCCATGTGGTGCGAGCGTCAACTGACAAGCATCCGCACTCATTTCAACATACATTCCGTTATACCTTTGAGGTTCCCAACAATACAACCACCATCTGTCTCAACACTATGCCTAATTCCACGGCCTACATCAGAACTAGTATGTTCATCTTTTCGAATGTTTTTCAAAATAAAATATTATTATCACAACCTATTTGAATCTCTTACGTCACCTCTTATGACTTCATCTGCAATACTACGAAGATATAACGAAGTGTGGCATCCATAATGGCCTATATATTGTAATGACCAAACGTAATCCTCCCTAAAACCAGACCAAAACTGAAATCTTCACAATCCGAGTGATCTGGTTCCAATCATTACGGTCAATGAGCAACGAACCATTCATAAAATAGACTCTCGCGAACTCATTTCCAATCCTCACGCGGACTGACTATTGTGACAAATGAGCAGATAATGCGTGTATAACGAAGGCGAGATAATGTTTACACAAAGACAATCGAAGGGCAGGTGTAGACGGAGACAGGGACAAAGGGGATTTATCGGAAATTGCCTGTTTAGGAATGTGCCTTGATACACGGGACAACGGAAAGCCCGCAGCTACGAAGGTTCTCTGGCAATTTCAGCCTGTCAGAAGCAATGGTCAGTGATCTGGACGAGATGAGGACAGGGAAAATTGCATGGTCAGCAGCTCATTGAAAGGATGGGTGTTAGGGCTTGGTATAAAAGAGAATTATTTAGAGGCAAGTGAAATGGAAGGAGGTCAATGATCCCTTGAATGATAGTTCGGTTGGATTCAATAAACACCTTCAAAGATACGGCTGGACGTAAAGGACAATGTTGGACATAATTCCTATGAACTCTGGTCGTTTTTCATAAACAAGAAATGAGACTATACGAAAAACGTGGAAAAGAATTTTATTGATTATAACAAATATAAAGATATAACAGTATATATACACCAGAAATTATAAATCATGTATCATCACCCCCTGGATTCCGCTTTAGTTTGGTCCCAAGCGACAAGTGTTTAGTTGGGAGTGGCGTCCAGCTGGATTGGGTAATTATTTTGAGTGTGTCCTCGTAATCCCATACTTACAATATTGATCATCGGATTGTCTGATACAAACGCGGACATTTACAGGCCGTCGTCATTTTGCTGGCGGTTCAACAAGCAAACAAAAGAGAGAATATTGGATTGCACAAATCATTTTACATATGTGTAACACAAGTGTGTGTGTGTGTGTGTGTGTGTGTGTGTGTGTGTGTGTGTGTGTGTGTGTGTGTGTGTGACTGTCTGTCTGTCTCTCTCTGTGTGTGTGTCTTTGTGTGTGTGTCTCTCTCTTTCAAAGACAATTTCCTCCTTTCCAGCGGTAGAAAAAACGGCATTCCCATCAAGCATTGGGTTTTTGAATGTCAATTTACCTGTTCCATATTAATTGTCACTGTCCGTATCACGTTATATAATTTTATTGGGACTAATCACAATTTGGCATCCGATCTCATTCACTGGAGAAGGCCATTTGTCTGTCCATGGGATGGCTGTAACAGGTGATCCTGGCCTTACAGATAAGACTAACTCTTTGATATGTGTCCATTGATGTCAACTATTTTTCTGACTTAAGTAAGAATTCGAAGTGTCCAAGATCGATGACAATCTAATCACAATTTTGAAAGCATGTAAGAACCCTACACCCCTGCAGTTGTATTTTGTTCCCGTCATATGGCATTGTAACGAATGGTATACAATCTACGGTTATGGAAATAATCTCACAATTAACCACATTCATGCTAAGGGGTTAATCATCATCGAGGCATAGATTAATATGTGCGTGACAATATCATAGGTACGCACATTTATTGTTTGAACTATACATGTATTTACTAAAATGAAGAAATAAATTGATTCGTCCGAAGAAAATGAATCATGAAGCTTGATGCTAATTAAAACATATTGATGTTTTAAAAATTATGGGGAAACATGGTCTTGATTTCCTAAAATGTTACAGGGTTCAGAAACCATCTGCCAGATTCTTTTTTGCGGAAATTCAAAGAATAGTCCTGCATATGCATCATAACAATAATTTGAATTTTCTCGGTTTATAAAATGTGAAATACTATGTCAGGCTGTAACATTCATTCACCAGACGTTTCGATTAGTATATATATAATCTTTAATGCAGAACACACTGTGTAAAAAAACAATGTATTGATTACATTGTTAATCTGTCTTCGATATACATGAACAATCTGGAATGTTACAATCTGTAGTTATTCAAATCATATCTAGTTATCAAGATAATATTGATGCTTGGATGTGAAGGACTATCCATTGCAAGTTAAGTCCATGTATTTGTTTGTACCAGTGCACATCATTTGAAAGACAATATTGTTAACAGGCTTTAGCAATTGTACATAAGCACATTAATGATCACATTTATGTAATATATCCACAAAATCATTTAGGTTTAGCCAACAACGTCTTGATTAGGCGATTGCGCTGGGTATATTGCAGTCTGTTCGAAGGGCTAAATACAACAGAATTAGGCGATTGCAGGCTGTTTGAAAGCTAATTGACACATAGCATTTCTTAGTAAGTATATATATATTAATATTGTGTCATACAGGTACCAGGGAAAGATGGTATCGTAGCACTGTAGCTCATTTGAATATGAAGTTATTTTTGTAAAACTACAGCGACAGAACAGAATGTTACTGTCAAGAAATACATTCTGCATAAATACTAAAATGAAAATCTAATGAACTGAGCAAAATATGCCATTGTATGGAAAAATAGATGTCAAAGTTTAACATCGACAGTCTGGTAATTTCTGCTGAGCTTAAAGATATTTTTGTGCATTTTGAGAACATTAAAGAGTATAATCAAACACGTCAAAACCTGGGTCATGGTCATTCTATGTTAGGTGTGTTAAAAATAAACACGAAAACATTTCGAAAATGTTTTGTTTTAACACACATGATGTCTGTTAACAGCGATGTTTTACGATTGACCTTATTCGTACATATGAGATAAGGTGATAATTGTCATATGACCCTATGACAGAAAGAGCGTGTCCAGTTTTACACGACCACTCGTTGCCTGGTGCTGCAGTCACCAACTGTTGTTGTTCACCATTATTGATATATTCCCATTTGAGAGATTTCATTTAAGAACGATCATACTGATTTGGAAATGGCATTTTTTACAGCTTTTCAATAGAACTTTCCTCTTAACTCCAAATGATAAAGCCTTTTGAGAGCAAAAGTTTTCCACCCATCAGCAATAGGCTATGTAACACAGCTTTCGGTGACTCTTGATTCACTCAACACAACTATCATGGGATTCCTAGGACAAAAACATTACCTGGTATTATAAGTCTTTCAACCTCCCATATAAAATACTGTACAAACTGGATTGTCAAGATATCTCCCTAATTTGTTCTTCCGTGATGAATTGATGGATTCAAAACCAAATTTAATGAATACTCTTGAAACAAACACATTTATCTTTCCCAGTGGTGACACATCAAAGGAAATCCGCCGCTTTATGTATGGTACAGAGCGTTTGTGAAGCGATTTATATACAAACACATACAAACTGAATTTAAATTATCTACATTTGTTCATATAAGCATGGTATGATATACACGTATTGGAAAATAATGATTCATACATATACATAAATGACAAAAATATGTAAAACAAAAATACTTTTTACGTTCAAGGGTATTTGGCACGTGAAGTTGTCTATATAAGTACTTTAGGTAACACCCATGCTATCTGCTGAGATGCTCGATGCGTGAGTGAGGTTTGACACATCTGTCAGCAAAATCCTGCGGTATTAACTGAGTTGAATGTCTCTTTGTACTGTTGTGGGTGACATGGTAGCTGCCTCATAGTTCTGTCTGTTGAATGAGACCACACGTGCTGGTATTCTCATACAGATCACAGCCATCTGTGGAAGATGTTGTCATGAGTTACAATCATACAAAATCGTGAACACAGATACACTAGGTTGATAGAGAGGTTCCAAGCATCACAAAGACGGAACAACGTAATAGTAAAAGCTTTTGATTTAACCATGGCATGTGGAATATTACCAAAAGTGACTTATATGATCCGTCACTCGTAAATGTGGGCATTAATTACAATGATTACAGTGATGGAAATGACGGATTAGGATACATATTTTACAAATCATTATATATCAATTATGCATAAATAGTGTTTATAAATTGAGTTATGCCAATATATAAAACGAATTAATATCTCTCTCGGGAATGATGTTTGTGTTTGCAGAGCTTTAGGTACTACTGATTGTATATTTACTTTTGCGTGGAAAACAGCAACTCACATATCCCTTAGATACCATATCATACACAATATTGTGCCAAACGATTACACTAAGATGTTTGAAAATACATTTAGCAGCAGTTCGGAAGTACATGAACAACATAATTAGCGTTATTCCTGACATGAAACTTTTGTCCTAAAGAAAATATCAGCTTTTAGTGCACATATAGTAAATGTGATAGAACTAACCTTCTAGTATCCCTCCATAATTAAACACTGAGGAATCGTGTTTGTTTATGAAACAATAAATATAGAACAAACAAAATGATCTAATGCCGGTTTACGTCCTCCATTTCATTATGCGATTTGTTGTCTTCCACCATTGAAAATTCCCTCAAATCTGAGGCTCACCCCCTGTTTTATCTTTACACGTTGTCATTTCTGTTCCTGTCATACCATCGTTCATCACCGCCACCCCAATCTCTGTGTTGACATACACCGCATCCTCATCCTCCTCCTCATCCCTCCTCCTCCTCCTCCTCCTCAACGTCCACGACGCTGTCAGGGCGTTCCAGGGCCAACCGCTTCTCCTCCACCAGCTGCTTGGCACAGTCATGGATGAACACATACTGGGTCTGTGGATCGAACACAACCAGAGATGACAACCACTTGATCTGATGTCAGTGGCATGTGGGGTAAAACTTCAAGATATGTAATATACTTACCAAAAAAGTACAAGTGAACAAAACTGACTGACTGACTGAGTTTGGTTTTACGCCGCTTTGAGCAATATTCCAGCAACATCACGGCGGGGGACACCAGAAATGGGCTTCACACATTGTGCCCATGTGGGGATTCGAACCCGGGTCTTCGGCGTGACGAGCCAACGCTTTAACCATTAGGCTACCCCACCGCCCCCCAAGTGAACAAGAAAGCATTACATAATAAACAATATTTCAATGAAGACCTCAAATCGCGGGATAATGCATTTGTTTTCTTTCTCGCCAGGGGAGCATCATTCCATGTACAGTATGACCATGCTCCTCATTGTCCACCCCCGCGTGACGTAGCTGGAATATTACCATGTTCTGCGTAAAACCACACTTACAATTTCTTTGTGTGAAGATCAAAGAATAACGAGATGCTGCATATTCAGAAGATGGCCACTCTCCTCTTGTATCCCATTTTGCCGTTTTATATGAGTATAGGACTATCGTTCACCAACTGTATAGTAAAGGAAATACAACAGGTGTCGCAAAGATTCCAGAATTGACAAGGAAGAGTGGGTTCCTCACGAAATGCTGTAATGCTACTCCTCCTAGGGGACAAGCTTTTGTTCTCGTGAAACCTTTGGTTTCGAAAAATGTAAATGCATTAACGACTAGGGATATGTTTTCAATTATTCACTTCGCGTTTCCGATTTCAAAATGAAATATTATTTCTATTCAAAATTGGAAAAAAAGGAAGCTCTTAACCTAAATCTACAAAGTTTACAGCCTTCATCTCGAGGTACTCGTATGTTATACATAGCTTCTAATCAAAATAACAATTTTTTTCAAAACAAATCTCGTACAACCCTTCATCCCCGGAGACAGTCCGGTTTCTACCGCGCTCTGGTGTTTGCAGCAAACGTTTTATCTGATGTCAGTTTCAACATAGAATATCCGCCAAGCGCTCACGTCCACAAGACTGTCACTTGCTGATTGTCAAAAGCCAACTCAGTTGGGAAAGAACATGGCCAGAAATGCAACTGAAATTATACCGAAAAGACAACTGGCGCCGAAGATGAGAAAAACTCTTGCCACGTATTTTGAAAACATAATCGTTTTTCTCAACTAATCGTTTTATGGGGTCTGGTGACTGCGTGCAATCTAATCGTATAAAAAATGCAACTTGTTACACAACATGTTTTTTCAACTTATTAACGCAATATTATGGCCGCCGCTTCCTTAAATGGCGCCCATCTCCGTAACTGTCCGAATGATCAGATGTTTTAAATCAAAATTATATAACTTAAAATCCTCAAAAACCTTTTTGAATTTCAATGATAAATGCGTCAAAATGTCAGATTGTATCAGTTATTTTCGTAGCTATTTCATTTTTACGCTTAATTTCATACATGTAAATAGATGTTGATTTTACTTTGCTTCATTCCTTGTGTCAAATGCGGGTCTTGTCGCTGCAATTTGACCTCGTTTAACAGCTGACCTGTAGGGTAAACGTTGTAACGCTGGCAAATACCTAAATGGGATGGACTTGTTACAATAACTGAATGGATTGTTGCTCATAATTTCAACTTTTAGTTGAGGGCTGATGTCACTTTATTTTACAGATCAAGAATATTGCTGAGTGTGGACCAAAATACAATGTATTCGTTCGAGTAATGAGACACGTGAGTATGTCGTGGGTGAAAGCGGGCAGTTCTGTGGACGTGTAGTACCACACGTGAGTATGTCGTGGATGAAAGCGGGCAGTTCTGTGGACGTGTAGTACCACACGTGAGTATGTCGTGGATGAAACCAGGCAGTTCTGTGGACGTATAGTACCACACGTGAGTATGTCGTGGATGAAAGCAGGCAGTTCTGTGGACGTGTAGTGGCACAAGTGAGTATGTCGTGGATGAAAGCAGGCAATTCTGTGGACGTGTAGTGGCACAAGTAAGTATGTCGTGGATGAAAGCAGGCAGTTCTGTGGACGTGTAGTGACACAAGTGAGTATGTCGTGGATGAAAGCAGGCAGTTCTGTGGACGTGTAGTGACACAAGTGAGTATGTCGTGGATGAAAGCAGGCAGTTCTGTGGACGTGTAGTGACACACGTGAGTATGTCGTGGATGAAAGCAGGCAGTTCTGTGGACGTGTAGTGACACAAGTGAGTATGTCGTGGATGAAAGCAGGCAGTTCTGTTGTCGTGTAGTGACACACGTGAGTATGTCGTGGATGAAAGCAGGCAGTTCTGTGGACGTGTAGTGACACAAGTGAGTATGTCGTGGATGAAAGCAGGCAGTTCTGTGGACGTGTAGTGGCACAAGTTAGTATGTCGTGGATGAAAGCAGGCAGTTCTGTGGACGGGTAGTGGCACAAGTGAGTATGTCGTGGATGAAATCGGGCAGTTCAGTGGACGTGTAGTAACACAAGTGAGTATGTCGTGGATGAAAGCAGGCAATTCTGTGGACGTGTAGTGGCACAAGTGAGTATGTCGTGGATGAAAGCAGGCAGTTCTGTGGACGTGTAGTGACACACGTGAGTATGTCGTGGATGAAAGCAGGCAGTTCTGTGGACGTGTAGTGACACAAGTGAGTATGTCGTGGATGAAAGCAGGTAGTTCTGTGGAATGTGTAGTGACACACGTGAGTATGTCGTGGATGAAAGCAGGCAGTTCTGTGGACGTGTAGTGGCACAAGTGAGTATGTCGTGGATGAAAGCAGGCAGTTCTGTGGACGTGTAGTGACACACGTGAGTATGTCGTGGATGAAAGCAGGCAGTTCTGTTGTCGTGTAGTGACACACGTGAGTATGTCGTGGATGAAAGCAGGCAGTTCTGTGGACGTGTAGTACCACACGTGAGTATGTCGTGGATGAAAGCGGGCAGTTTTGTGGACGTGTAGTGGCACAAGTGAGTATGTCGTGGATGAAAGCAGGCAGTTCTGTGGACGTGTAGTACCACACGTGAGTATGTCGAGGATGAAAGCAGGCAGTTCTGTGGACGTGTAGTGGCACACGTGAAGTATGTCGTGGATGAAAGCGGGCAGTTCTGTGGACGTGTAGTGGCACAAGTTAGTATGTCGTTAAAGAAAGCAGGCAATTCTGTGGACGTGTAGGGGCACAAGTGAGTATGTCGTGGATGAAAGCAGGCAATTCTGTGGACGTGTAGTGGCACAAGTGAGTATGTCGTGGATGAAAGCAGGCAATTCTGTGGACGTGTAGTGGCACAAGTGAGTATGTCGTGTATGAAAGCTGGCAATTCTGTGGACGTGTAGTGGCACAAATGAGTATGTCGTGGATGAAAGCAGGCAATTCTGTGGACGTGTAGTGGCACAAGTAAGTATGTCGTGGATGAAAGCGGGCAGTTCTGTGGACGTGTAGTGGCACAAGTGAGTATGTCGTGTATGAAAGCGGGCAGTTCTGTGGACGTGTAGTGGCACAAGTTAGTATGTCGTGGATGAAAGCAGGCAGTTCTGTGGACGTGTAGTGGCACAAGTGAGTATGTCGTGGATGAAATCGGGCAGTTCAGTGGACGTGTAGTAGCACTCCCTCCTTCCCTCCTTCTCTCTCTCTCTCTCTCTTCTCTCTCTCTCTCTCTCTCTCTGTTTGTCTTTGTGTGCGTGTGCTTTTGTGTGTTCCTCTCTCTTTGTGTGTGTCTGTGTGTTTCTGTGTGTATCTATAACACACAAGTTCTAGCACCAGATAGCTGCAACTAACCTCTGTCTGGACCATGAGGACTCGGTTGTTCCTCAGCTTCATCACGTAACGGTATATGTCGACAGTGTCAGACAGGTGATGCTTCTCAATATACTGGATGAGATAGTCAAGGCATATGAACGTCCCTGTCCTGCCAACGCCAGCACTGGAAAGAAATATGTACGTCTTGAAAGGAAAATGCCACAACAAATGGATAGCATATTCTTTGGAAAAATCTCTTGCTTTTAGAAACTGGCACTTCCGATTCTTTACCTAGTTAATCAATTAATTTGGTACGGAAAAACACATCGTGGCAAATAAAACATTGCTTTAACATAAAGGAATAAAGCATTTCACATTTTGTTTAATGTCTCGTTATTGATATATCAATACCACCAACGTTACATAATCCCCAGGGGGAAAACTAGAACACACTTCGTTAAAAGTTTCTCTGTTAGAAACAATATTTTCTTATTTGAAAAATGGAATTATTATTCATAAAAAACATCCTCAATCTACTCAGGAGATCTTGTTTTTGTTCCTGGTATCGTTTCCTTTCTATCCAAAACGATCTCCGACCGGTGGGTCTCTTTCAGTTAGTGCATGAGAATTCAGTCGCATGATGAATGCAATCTTTTTAACATAAAAAACGAAAAATGGGAACAATGTTTTACTGTTTCAATTTATGATGACCTACGTGGTACTTTGTAAACAGTGAATACAACCAACAGTCAGTTACGTCACAACACCAGCAGGGAATGTGATTGGCTGATACGTGAACTTTGACCTTTAACTTTTGTACATGGAATGGGTACCTGTTTGTGTATATTTCTTTGCTGAAACAAAATTGTATGCGATGACTTTGCTGAGATACAGATATGTATCATCAGTTACGTTTCGTGGAAAATTTATTGATTTAAGCCAAAATAGAGGGAAATACCAATTTCCAGAGTAGCGTACTGTTTGATCTGATAGAAAAACCGAGGAAATCAGCAATGTCCTTTAAAGTCCATGTACAAGCCACTTTCACCCGGACATATGTGCTTTTCAAGGGTTTGTCCGGACAACCTAACTCCCGGATATGTGAATCAATTAGTAAACTGACCAAACGTCTCATTGGCGGATTACCTCCCGGATAGTTCAGGGGCTTCCCCCTCTCAACCACCACATGAAACCACAACGTCTCATTGGCGGATGGGGGAGGGGTAGTTCATAACTCCGTCACACGAGTGTCGTATCGAAACGACTGACTTGCTAACGTTGATTGGATAACCGGATCCAATTAGGGAGTTCAGGGCTTCTACAACCCATTGTGGGAATGTAAACACTCGAACGTTGTCACAACTGAGACATTATATCACACACACACACACACTCAAAATTTCTGTAGGACCCGCCAATGCGTCTTACCATTATCATCTGTGAGACCTATGATCACTTTCGTTGTGATTTTCTGCATGTAAAAATAAATAAAATACCGTATTTCCTAAGTATTTAATATGACTTTAGTCATGTTTCGTTTTCAGAGGTTTTCTTCCAACAGAGATGAGTTGTATGACGTCATACAAACAGAAATAGACGAATACTGACGTAGTGTAGTTTGTGCTGTTTTATGTTGACCAGGCAGATGAGCACATGTAATATGATCTAACTCCAGAGGATCTTGGACGTGGAAATAAACTCAGTAAATAGCGTTCGTTGTTTTACAATGTGTGATAGGTTGTCAGACTCGCCTAATATTTCAATAGTTGAATCTCACAGTTTGAACATATGACAAACATCGGGACTGGATCTAAAGCGAAGAAATTCGTCACGTCCTGCAGACTATCGGAGATATTTCAAACCCTCTATGAACAGACAGTAATGTCACTCGTCTGTCCCATTATTACCCCTGTGGTTACGATGGAAACCGCAGCTCCTATCTTGTATACACGTACTCAAAGGTTTACTAGGTTCATGTACATTATAATTGCTGATGAAACAAATTCCTTCCTTTATACTGCTGTACATGTCCTCCGAGGGTTGAACACAACAGTATATATTTACAAAACGTACATTCCATAGAATTCAGTAATATGTTTTGCTCTCCCGAAAGCCAATCGAATCGACCTTTTTACAAACACATATACCCTGTAAATCAATGATAACCATAAGAAAACCGTTGGAGTTTTGACATATTAGATTCTGAAGCGTCAGGCTATGGCATAAAAACATGGATAGAGTTGGGGGTGGGGGTGTAAGGGGGTTACTGTTGGTCTTGAGTACACCTGCGTGAGGAGTTACCTGCAGTGGACCACGATTGGCCCTTCCATGTCTGGACGGAGGTGGGATCGGACTGTCCGCACGAAGTCCAAGATGTCGGACCGCTCCACATCTGCCGACATGTCCTTCCAGTTGAGGAAGTGGAAGTGCTTTACCACTCGTACATCTTTATCCTGAAATGACAGAGTCATAAAGAAAATACAAGAGGGCAAGACCATTCCACCGCTGCTTCTTGGTTCGACAAGCATCTGCACTAGAGCAGACCTTATTTTACTGGCGCATCCATCAATAGTGTGTAGCTACTGGAGAGAGGTGAGCTCAAGAGGGGTTAAACTTTGCGTTTAGGATCATTTCACTATAGCGACGTGAGTGCGTGCATGAGTGCGTGCGTGCGTGCGTATGTGTATATGTGTGTTGACTAGTCTGGCCTTTCTGTTGGTTTCATAGTGCAAGCCCCTGACCCACCACGGTGCAGTTAAACTAGTGATTATAATCAACTTAGTGCTGAACGTCTGTGTGAACGCTCGCCTACAGCTATCTTTGGTAAATAACCCTTGCAACCAGTTCTCCTGTTTTGGTCGCATGCAAGTTGTACACTGGTCTGTTCGAGACTATCAGTAATATGTCCATTGTTACCTCTCCATTCCTCAGCTGGAATACTGTAACGTTGTAGGTGTTGAGGGAGGAGAAGGAGGTGTTCTCCACCACGATGTCCCCGTACTCCTTGGGTTCCTGAACTTCCGCTGGCCAATACTCCTCACACTTCACCTGAAGCACAACACCATCCTTAACATACTTAAACTGAGAAATAAATCCTTGGTTTGAGATGAATGTCACTTTGGACAGTATTTCAGACACACCAAGGCAAATCAGCTTGAAGGTAAGTCGTTCTGACAACTCTATACCACTGACTCAACGGACTTGGTGCTGACAAATCTTGAATTGGTGCGAATATAATAATAATAATGATAACAATATATTAATAATAAAATGTATTTATAAAGCGCCTGTTTCCACGCACTTGTGCATGCTCAAAGCGCTAAAGCATTATTACATCGGATAACCCATGTTGCCTGTGTGGCGCTAGAAGGTTAACAGTCATATGATTTATCCTACCAGGTACGTATTTCATATTGGGTGAACAGAGGTAATTCATAAACAAACACAGTTGCCTGAGGTGAGACAACATGCGTCGCGTGTGCTTCGTGACATATATTTATTCAATCCCACCTCAATATGAGATAACTGTACACTGGCACCAGCTGGATCACCTATATCTTGCACTAGAAGCTGCATATTCCTCTTAAAGTGATTCCACTACACAAACGTATTTATGTCTCGTAAATGTCAATTAAACGTCAATTGTGAATGACACAGATTCTGCTATCGTCCTCGTGGTTTGGTAGACTTTCAGTGTTACCTGAAGTCATGGCCCCTAAAAATATGAAAATCAGTGATAACACAAGGTGTTCTAGCATCACTGTCCCTGACCCACATTATTTTCCCTTCGTCCCAAGCTTTTCCTTAGTCTATATTTAGTCAGGTACTGATCTCTCATCGCACCGGAGCTCTTGTTTTGAATATGTAGAATCATCTGTAAACATGTGGTCAAGACATGACGACTTGCGCCATGTAGCTGAAGTATTGCGTCACACTTCAAGTGGTCAGTGACTAGGGAAACATGTATCCAGGATAGTAACCTGTCGTTGCACCAATTGCACCTCTAAGTTACCCTATAACCGTAGCAGCTCTGGGAATTTGTGTTTCATGACAGTTCAGGGTCGCTTAACCAACTACATCTAGGTTAACCATATAATGTGTATCAAGGGTAGGAGTTATTGGTCCAGGAAGCAGATGGTCGTTACACCAGGAAACCATATAATGATGGTCGGAATTATTGGTCCAGGAAGCAGATGGTCGCTACACCAACTACAGCTCTTGGTTAACCATATAATGTGTATCAAGGGTAGGAGTTATTGGTCCAGGAAGCAGATGGTCGCTACACCAACTACAGCTCTTGGTTAACCATATAATGTGTATCAAGGGTAGGAATTATTGGTCCAGGAAGCAGATGGTCGCTACACCAACTACAGCTCTTGGTTCCATATAATGGGGTAAGCATTGATGGTCGCTACACCAACTACAGCTCTTGGTTAACCATATAATGTGTATCAAGGGTAGGAGTTATTGGTCCAGGAAGCAGATGGTCGCTACACCGACTACAGCTCTTGGTTAACCATATAATGTGTATCAAGGGTAGGAGTTATTGGTCCAGGAAGCAGATGGTCGCTACACCGACTACAGCTCTTGGTTAACCATATAATGGTCCAGATTATCGGTGATGGTCGCTACACCGACTACAGGTCCAGATTATCGTGTTTGTGTCAGAGGTAGGAATGATGTTTCACCTTTCCATTTTCTTTCACAGGAGTAACCATGACAATGATGGAGACTTTCTTTTCCCAGATCATTCTCCAGAAGTCATCCACTGTACCAGGGAGTGGTCCTTGGGAGGCGATGTACTCGTTTTCATAGTTGTAACCCTGGGGAAACACACGTATAGTCAGTCCTCTTACAGGGCATGTATAGCAGATATAGAGAATATCACCCTCGTGTCTTTGGATATCAAATTCATCACCACGAGTTGATAAAGTTACACATTTTTACTTATATCAAACGATTGTTGATATATTTGATATCAGAAGACACGAGGGTGAGATTCTATTTATCATCAAAATCACTTTTTATTCGGTTTCAATGAAAAATGTACATCTCTGAACACGGTTCTGCCATTAGACTTGCAGTGCAGCGATGTCATAGCATTGTGAAGTCATCAAGTTCATGGCGTCATAGCATTGTCAGGGCATTGTACAAAATCTACTGTCAAAACGATATCTCCTAGAAGATATCGTTTTATCTCAAACAAGCAATATCTCCTGTGAAGAACAAGCTAATAAGGGCTGAACACTGACGCCACGTGTTTGTACTTATTCGGCTTAATAAGGTTTATTATGAAACATATATGAAGCTGTAGATACAGCGCACGAAATGTTCCTTACAGGCATGTAACTTGCGTTGATATAGTCTGAAGTCTCGTCATCATCGAGGACTTGGAGGATAACACGGCTATGGTCGACTGAAAAGATGATTTTGATTTTGAAGTTACACCTTCTTAATGTTGCTATATATTTCAAATATTTCTTCAGGACTTCAGAGCTCCAACCACATGAAACTGAATATTACAATTGAGTGGGTATGGTTTTACGCCGTTTTAGCAATATTCCAGCAATAGCACGGCGGAAAATATCACAAACTATGGGTCTCATCCATACATATGAGAATAATGTGCAAAAAGATATAAACGAGATGAATAGCAAAAGACAATATACCCATATTTTCTCTTTCTATTTATATTTGCATTAAGGTCGGAAACTATTTAATTAGGGCTTTACTCTGAAATACGTTTCCAAACGGCTCTTACCCAACTCTCCCAAATCATTGAACTCATTTTCATATTTATATATTTAACATATATTTTTACTCACATGGTAGAACATTCACCCATCGGTTCTTCTGTTTATTTTCGTCAATCTGGGAGGCGTGGTTCGTGTGTTTAGGACTGATGCGGATGATGTTCTGGAAATAGTAATAAGACATAGATATGCAAAAATATATGACACGATAACACATGTACAAGCTGAAAATACATCAGGTAACGAATTTACTCATATATCGTTCATAATGTTATAGACACCAAAGACCCGGGTTCGATTCCCCACATGGGTACAATGTGTGAAGCCCATTTCTCACTCACTCATATGTAACAACACACTCATACCGTGACTGTTGTCATAACTAAAACGTCAACCAACGTTGAAGGATATACTTCCCCAATTTGCAATTACCTCCCTTGGAACACCATCATAAATAGCGCTGTATGTGCTTACAAAACGACCAATGAGTAAATGAGTGTGTATTCGTACCACATACACAAATATGTTAAATTTGTTGTCGGAGGTGAAATGTATAAAACAACGTCCACAATACTCCAACCACTGTATTATAGTTACTGGGCAATTATGTCCCTTGTCCACTGAGTGAGTAAGTTTAGTTTTAAGCCACCTTTATCAATATTCCAGCAATATCACGGCAGGGAACACCAGAAATGGGCTTCACACACTGTACCCATGAGGGGAATCGAACCCGGGTCTTCACAAGCGAATGTTTTAATCACTGGGCTACCCCCCTTGTACACTGAAAGGTCAGGAAACAGTATGTGTAATATACCCGAGAAAATACGGACTGTCATGTAAGGGTTCGAACTCAGTAAGATTACCTACAGATTGGTGTAGAAGTTGTTCAGAGAGCAATCACTGGGGCGGGGAGCTTGATACGTATCTATGGTATAAGTCTTTGCAGATCAGCGTACACGACTAACTACTTGAGAAGCCGACACCAGTAGTGTGGTTGGTTGTTTAACGCCGCACTCAGCAATATTCCAGTTATATGGACCAGACGATCCAGTGATCTACATCATGAGCATCGTTCTACTCAATTGGGATACGATGGCATGTGCCAACCAAGTCAGCGAGTCTTACCACCCGATCCCGTTAGTCGCCTCTCACGACAAGCATGGATTACTGAAGACCAATTGTAACCCGGATGTTCACGGGTCACAAGTAGTGTGGTTGCGTGTTGATAAGTATTTGTGTACAAAAGAATAACATTTCACAATGTTATCTAACTTTACACTGCAACAGACAAAGCATGTTTCCCTTTGTCTGTAAAGAGGGTGTGTTGAAGGTCATGTTATCTTACTGACCTCATAGTCGACGGAGAACTGTAAGTTGCTGTCAGCATGCATCTGTGTAACTCGGTTCTCCAGCTCCGACAGCAACATTGGTCTGACAATTGTACATATTTATTAAAGAGATTTTCCCATACAAAACTCAGGGTCAGCCCATAGTCTTTCGTGTTAATTATCATTAATTGTACAGACAACTGTACAGATTTATTAAGAGATTTTCCCATACAAAAATCAGGGTCACGCCCATACGTTTTCGTGTTAATTATCCTATAAACAGACTTGGTTCTCGTATGCATCTGTAAGAATTGTCTCAGTAGGCTAGTATAAACATTCAATGAAACAGGGCATTTATGAGTAAACCCGCCACATTGATACCTATATAAACTCAAAACTAATGTTATTATGCACTCTTTAAGACTTGATAATCTGATACCCGGATGGGTTGCAGCAATCAACGTGCCCAGATAATAGACGTTAGTCTGTAATCAGATACACGGAGATATTTCTCAAATCACTGATCACTGAGGTTAAGTCAGTTTAAGTCGATCCTTGCATCTGAAATATTTCCTTGACACAAGGAAGTGAATAATAAATTATCTATTTTTGGTTATTTGTTTATTAGTTTAAAGGCAAGGATCCGAAAATGAAAACACTCTGACACACTGATATCATGAAACATGCATGTACTGACCTTTCACGTGGAATTCTGGACAGATCCGGCTTTCTTAATGAAATGCGAACAGGCATCATATTAACTTTCCTGAAATTGAAGGATTAAATACTGGAGTTATCTTAGCAGACTGAAAACTATGTCCATTAAAATAGTCTAAGTTATGATACTTAAGCACCTTTCTCGGCGGAAAGATACAATTCATGGGTTTCCGTGCTTTTTCAGATGACTGACTGACTGACTGGGTTTGGTTTTACGCCGCTTTAAGCAATATTCCAGCAACACCACGGCGGGGGACACCAGAAATGGGCTTCACAAATTGTACCCATGTGGGGATTCGAACCCGGGTCTTCGGCGTGACGGGCGAGCGCTTTAACCACTAGGCTACCCCACCGCCCTTTTTCCAGATGAACTCTTGACATGCCTTATGCGTGTATTAATGAAGTGTCAGGATTAGGAAGGGCGCGCTTACCTTTTCGCGATCACTTGGTATCATGTGCTCATTATACCATGGACGTATGATTATCGGAATTTCTTTTGTCGCTTTTATTTCAATGGGAGGTGGAAGCTAATGAATTGTACCAACAGTGCAAATTTGTATAAAATCTGATACCCTTGAGCTCCCGACCATGATTGGTTTGATTGATTGTTGTATAACAGTCAGAAATATTACAGCTCTTTGACAGCTGTCTGCATATAATAGAATCCTGGCCAGACAGTCCACAAATAGAGATCATAAGATCACAATTATGAAACATGTATAAGGTAAATCAGACAACATGAACCCGTCAGTTGACTTTTACGACACATATTCGCCCTGAAGACCAACTGGAATCAGTCATGATGATAACTGACAAGCCTTATGATTTATGTCATCACTGTAATGTTCATGCACTGCACTCCTAATTCATACCAGCAGCCCGGAACTCGTCAAAACCTTCAAATGGTGTCCTTTTGATGTACAACAATCGCATTTTAATCGGAATTGTCTTTAAACTGATACTGTTTCTCTCTCTGAGGATTTGCATTAGTTTTTACTCGTCAACACCTATAATGATACACAATAAGTACAAGAATTCATTTTGAGGAAACGAAATGTACACCACACATATTGTGATGAATGAACTTTTTACGCCGTCGCATTGCTGTACAAGAGATATAACGACAGGGGTCGCCAAGAACGGGCTTCACACATTGTAATCATGTTGGGAATTGAACCCGGTCCTGCTGTGGCGGTTTGAGCTGAAACGTCCACCACTAGACGAAACCACGTACACAATATTGCATAGAACAATACCTGGACTGTGACTGCTATATATTTTAGGAGCTATTGTTCTGTGTATATAGATATGATACGTAAACGCTTGAGAATAACCAGTCTCGATGTGAATATCTCGAATACGGAATACAGAAAAAGAATCCTGACAGAAATTCCAAATTATGAAAAATACATGAATTGATCACCGAATATCACTGATAACACCGGGTGTCCTTCTCTACAGTAACATTGGCAGCTCACACAGTTTTTATCACAAAGGAAACAGTTCTAGTAACATTATGATGAACACTGAAATAGACTCAAATAGTAAATATAACCGCCAAACTGTCCCGCGTCCCATGTAAAATACTCTGAACGAGCTACCAGTGTATTCTTCTTCATGAAATAGTGTTGGTAATTGTGAAAAAGGTTAAATTACTAAACACAGTGTCATAAACATTATGAATGTATAACAACAAAACATCTAGGTTGCTATTGTCGACGTAATCAGAATAACAACAATCTTCGACAATGCCGAAATGGCAATATCAGATTTCACTTCCACTTCCTTCAGAAAGGGTGGGGTTATTTTACAATGGTTGACACAGTCAAATCAAATGTTTTATAGCTTTCGCTTCTGGTGTTCAAAACAAGTAAAATTCTTCTAACTAATATTTATTGCTGATAAACATTTATCTATTTTGTAATTACCCAAAGGCGTTCTCATTAGATCAGAAAGATATTCTCCACTGAAAGGCAAAAGAATGTATACATCCATGTATGATAGTAGAAGACGAATGAAATATAACGCATGAAATGGATATTCTGTGATGTTGATCGGGTTATCATGGCCGATATAAATGTATGATATCAGTGCGTATCTGGCGATACGTTAGTCTAGCCCTGCTACATTTGGGCCTTTTTAGTTGAAATTCAATTGTAGATGTTTACTTTCTTTTGTTTATCAAACATAGGTTGATCAAAACCGAGAGGATGTAACCTACTTGGAGCGCCATAGCAGGGCAGCACCGATGATAATGGCAGCAACAATAATGGACGTCACCAACATTGCGACCACGATGGCGGTGGTATTATCTGTCACAACACAAGCATATGAAGATTTACAATAAACATAAGATTGTACAAAGTCAAAATTATAAGTAACAATAAATAATATATTGCATAAATCTCATTACAAATAGTTCTTCTTTGACCCAAATATTCACATAACAGTTTGCAAGTCGTGAGCACTGTGAGATACTTTATATCCATTTTGAAATAACACAGCTGATTCGACTCTTTTTTTTTCAGAGTAGTACAATGTCCCTACAGTCTAATGTTCCCCTCAATCGTGGCACAACATACCTTTATCTGTTCGGAAGTCAAATATTGGACTATAGCTGCAACCTTTCTCTGTGCAAACAACAGCAAGGTAACTGTAAAACAAGCAACACCAATGTATGTTTCTATAACTTTCTATGACACAGGTGTCTGGGTGTGTGCGTGTGTGTGTGCCCGCGCGTGTGTGTGTCTATGTGTGTATGATCAAAGGCAAAAGTTATTGTGACATACAAAGAACAAACTTTCACTGCCACGGATAATATGCTATTACATAGAGATACAAATGTTTCAAGGTAGGGTAACGATCAAGAGGGACGGCACATCTGACATACGCAATAATACAAGAGGGGGTTGACAAGTAAGTTCATATGGTTAGCACCGATTGTGTCCACCTTGCAGGCCTAACAGATAAACCTCTGTTGCGGGGGTATGGTACGGGCAGTGAGAATTTGTGGCTGGAGCCTATGTCGGACGTGCATGGTTCGAAACTTGATTGTTTTGTTGGAAACGTCTCCGTAATTGCCAAATAGTGTTTCTCGTAGAATCGCCTAGCAACGTCACGCTGCGAGGTACCAGACTGGGGCAAGCGTCTACCTTACTATCTGTCAGTTCCCCAAAGTGGTGGCATGTCGATCCTGGCCCAAGACGATGATTAGATGTGTTGTGTCTGATTTATGCACTTCCCAAGAGTGCATTCAGTGGAAATGACAAGCGTCTGGTTGGTTCAGTTCAAAACATCATTCCCAAGATTACAAATGAAAACAGTCCCTGTTACAATAACTTTTGCCTCTGGGTATATTTAACTATGTATGTAAGTATGTATGCATTTATATGCATGTATAACTAGTCATATATTTCATTTGGACAAATTAGAGTTACCTTGTGCCATACCTGTCAAAGCAGAATGACTACTCAAATTATTCATATTTTATTATCAATGAAAATAACATTGTAATTGAGGTAGTTATATTCTGCTGCTTGTACAATTTACATTACTCAATGACAAACGATTTACGTACTAATATACTGTGTCTGGTCCCAGGTGTGTCCTACAGTAGCCAGTCCTACAGTTTTCCATGAACCCTCCTGAAACTATGTATGGCAGAATAAACTAGCACCGAAGAAACTTGATAATATGTTTTAAAAGCAACAATAATTATTGTTTTCCACATCTGTAGCACCGAAGAAACAAATAAAGCACAGTTGTTTTCAGCAAGTTTATATGATAAAGATTTCCATGAAATATAATTCATTATAATTAATGTTACTTATAGATGACATAACTATCAAGGTATTTGAATGTGTTGGATAAAAAATAGGGACATACACAAAGGGAAGCTATAGACATGTCACATGGAAAGGGAGGTAAGTCTTGAAACTGATACAGAGTGGAGAAAATGTTTACCACGACAACACCCGATTTTTGTTCCCCTCACATCTCCAGCTTGGTGATCTGAAATATTCGAACATTACAACATTAAACATTGGTTTGCAATGATATATCGTCGGCCTTTAAAACACATGTATAAAATTGTGACAAAACAAATTGCTTATGTTACATACCTGGTACTTCCAGCATTTTCTTGTGAAGTGACATGTACAAGCTACGTTTTGTTATGGGGCCATTCGTATCGTTATTAAAAAAATCAATGTTTAATGTGAACTGAGTGTCGGTGACGACGGGGGATGGTTGTATGCCCTCTGGCCATTTTGGAGGAACTGCAATATAGAAAATAAAAGGGTATGTACGTGTTGCACGTTCAATTCGTCATCACATCAATGTTCTTTAATATGGGTCGAAGAACCTAAGGCGTCAGAAAAGATTGGCAAATATTTCCAGGTATGAAGCACCAGTGATCAAGATAATGTCCCAAATTGGCACAAATTCACTGTTTCTATTTTATAACTTTTCAAGTCAGTTCTGCCTGGACTTTATCTGAGTTGAACACTTTCGTGATTAAATGGAAAGAGGTTTGGCAGTTCGATCCCCGGCCGCGTAATACAAATAGACGTTAAAGATGGTACTTGTTGTTACCTACCCTAACGCATTAGAGGATTGAACAAGGTTTGGATGGCCTGTAGTCATTTTACTGCGTCTGAGTTGGGCATCCATATTAAACATCATATCTCAGTGGACGAGTACTGTAAAACTGACTGACTGTATTGGACACGACCACTACAACATGCCTGCACAGCACAAGCCACATGCCACAAGCCAAAGGCCACAAGCCACAAGCCACAAGCCACAAACAAGACACAGAAGAGTCCATCTTGAAGGTGACGTTGAACTTTATTTCATCTCATCACATCGCAACCTCCGATAGGCTTATCTCCCAAATATGAACTAAAGTACTGTCGGGAATAGACAAAAACTGTTTTAGGCTGTTACTCTGTATCCCTAACATTTACACAATTGCAAATAGCATATGTCGAAATAACCCACTTCGGCCTAACTGGGCGTTCAGTGGGATGCGTAATAGGATAGCCAGAAAAGCATGTTTACTCGTAGAATCGGGCAAAACTTAGAAAAAATACGAATAGCTGCTGAAAACAATAGATCAGACTATAGATGGCAATTAGGTCGCTCAGCCAGGTATGACGACGGACAGTCGACTCACTGGCATGAAATGCATGTGCCGCCTACGGCCACAAGGGGTCATCTCAAAGATATTTATGCTTTCTCATGTGTGCTGAATATGTCTCATCAGTTGATTAACATCTTACGTGTCTTTCTGTCATAAAGTTTATGTTGAGATATGTAAAAGAGTATGATACCCATAGAAAAGCTTAAATCAGCCATCGTTTTAAATGTCTCAAAATATATAGGTGGCATGACCACGTGATGATTGACAGGACTGGGTATTATTTGTAAATTGTAACTTGCCAAGTTTAATTCCCCTAAAGGATTATCTTATCTCAGCTGATATCTCTATCCTCCAGCCCGACCCCAACCGCCGTCTGTTACACCCATCCTGACACACTGTTTGAGACGACCCCTCCTATCTGTTTCTTTTTATAGTGATAGTGAGACTCCATGGTAGCTACATCCTGAATAGTTTCAGTATTCAAGTTATTATTTTTACGTTAGTTATCGTCTATAATGAAGCTAAGTTTAATTTTAAAATGGGCATATAAAAAGTGTCCTTTGTAATACAATATCATCGCACACTAATTTGCATAAAGTCACTGTCTGTTCTAAATAAGTCGCTGCTTATTTCTGCACTAATCTTTCTTCAGTAAAGTCATTTTCTACATTTCCTATCTCCCTACCACTTAGACTGCATTTGGACCGAACTTAGTTTAACAGATATTTCACACTTTCACATATTAACTACTTAAATTGTAGATATAAGTGCTAAAAAACAGGATTTTTTTCTATTTTCGACAGTACTTTAATGTCACGACTTTAAGGTTTAAAAAGTTTGATTCAACCTGCTCTTTCAGAGGTGGTAGGGTAGCCTAGTGATTAAAGCGTTCGCTTTTCACGCTGAAGACCTGGGTTCGATTTCCCACATGGGTACAATGTGTGAAGCATATTTATGGTGCCCTCCGAAGTTATGTTGCCTTACTGCTTAAGGCCCAAACTCGCTCACTCACTCACTCACCCACTGTTATATAATATGTACTTCTTGGTACATACGTCTTCAAGCACAGTGCATCTGAACGCGGCAAAGCAGTTGTAGATAACCTAACCATCCACCCACACATTCATGACATACAGTCGTTTGTCTCTGCACTGGAGGAACAATGAAGAACATACCTCCGATAGGTGCACGGCACTTCGATTCTGAGGATACATTGTACAGAGTACCATTGTCACGTACTTGAATCTGCATATGAAACAAGTGTATGTAAACAGTAGCTTGTAATACAGTGCAAAGTTGTTTGAAACATAATTATGGATAGCTTATATATCTTTCTGTTTTTAGATTAAATTTTTAACAATAAGAAAATTTCACTCAGGACGTGTTATAATTCTCATCATGTCAGTCTCATGTTTTCATTTATTGAAATTAATTTTGCATAAAGAGACGACAGAAATAAAATTATAGTTTGAACATATACAGTGTAATAAATTCATCACTGTGTACGACTGGGCATGTCCTCACCTTGAAGGTATATGTCTGACCTGGAGTCACATTAAACACGTCACTGTAGTTCGTACCCGCTCTATCTGCCTTCGATGTGATATTGTGCGTCTGAAATAGGGGCATGAAATATAGTCAAAAGCCTGAAGTGATGACGGAAACATACTGGATGTACCGCAGTTAAATAAGAAAATCAAAATTTGCCCAGTGTCAGTAGTAATTGTTTGTGTTCATTTCAAACGAGAGTGTTATCTACAAGGGCTGCTGCTATGTATATAGTTGAACCAGTTATGAACTCACTTCCTTGTTGGCGGTAACTAAATAGCTGCTTATCGTTGTGCCAATGTCTGGTTCTGACCATTGTATTGTCATCTGCCTGTAGTTCCCATATTTGTAGAAACGATTCTTGCACACCCCTTCTGCTGTGATGATCTTGAATCCAAGGAATTGAACTGAAAGCAGATATATGTAATTCAAAAGACGTTTAAAACATAAAAACATAAGGGACAACATGCAAATAAAAAACAATAACATACAGGCATGCAGTGTCCTAACAAGATGTACAAAACATTATTAATATTTGCAAATATTCAATGATGGGGTTGTTTCTTTCATGTCTATACAATAAGACAATGTCTGTGGTAGCACATTACTTTCCATGCTTGTCGTTCGTGTCTCCATTCCTTGGCCAGCTGTGGTAAAGGCTGACACCCCAATGGTGTACCTCAAGAAAGGACTGACATCTTCTTTTGTGTAGCACACTGATGTTGCTGCAACACGCATGTACATCAAACATTAACTTCATAAATAACAGTTGTATTGAAACATAACCATATCAATGCGCTGTTGTCTAAACATAACCATATTACTTGGCTGTTGTTTAAACGTAAATACACACCAGTTTTTTAACGACTCTCGAGAACTTATTTACCTTAAACAAAGTATGATATAGTATTTTTTCACCACTCAAGATCAAATCAATGTACTGTCAATTGGTATATATACACCGTGATTATCTTTCTTGATGCCGGGTGTTAAGATAAAAAAGGCATACCGCTTTCATTGGTTTCTTTCACCACTTTCTTGTTGACTTCATCAAATATATCTACTCTGTATGTGACAGGCCCTGGGTATGGGTCCGGGCGGTGCCACATTGCACACACGAGGCAGGAGTCGTCTCTGCATGTAGTCAAGCGGTTCACAACGTTGGGAACTTTCAACAGAATCAGATATGCAGGTAAAATGAACTAAATACTGTACAGTGAAACCGTTAGGTGTATATTGATGTGTCAATGATATTTAGCTTACAGATTCTTCAGTTTGTACTTTTGTAAGGTGAACTTTAAGTGCATTCGATTATCATTGAAATTGTCATTACAGAAATAAACGCAACATGCAGCAGATAACGTCCTCATACATTGGAGGAAATTAATAAATGAATACATAAGCACACGCACGCAGTAAAATGGGGGAAAGAGTCGTAACTTATAACTAGACCAGCAACTGATGAGTAAGTTAGTTATCCTGACTCGCCGTATACCTGCTGTATCAGTTCGCTCTGTTACAGTTGCTGGGCGACTGCCTTCAGAACTTCCATTGTTGCACTTTACCATCGCCACCTTGATCTCATACAAGGTGAAGGCCTCTAAACCTGTCACGTTGTATTCTATGCGCTTGTCTCTAGGTGGCTCAATGGCTTCAATTTTGCACTGTGAACAAAAGATAATACTTGCCTTTCAGCCGACTAGATATTCACCAAACTAATTTCGTTACATCTACGTTCACATTGATAATTGTTATCGTCATTAATATTATAAAATATACTTGCGCCAGTCAAATAAGGCTTTGACGAAGTATTTCGTAATCGTATTGCCCTCGTTTTACGATCTTTTACACACAGGTGATTTCTGCAGGTGTATAAGCAATAGATATATAAAATATGAGTTCAGATATTTCTTCTGGCCAAATCTCCTTTATATCTGCAAGGGACAACATTAATGTACAAACTTAATGAACAACATTCCCTCCTACCGCGCTACAGTGTTCCTGTGAAGCATTTCGACGAAGGACAATACACCTTGGAGTAGAGGTATTGACATCAAGCTGGAACTTGTTGTAATCCAAGGGTCCATCAAATGTCACAAGAACTGATGACGATGTCTTACTGGAAGGTTTTAGATTCTCCACGTATCTTGTCTCTGTATAATATATATTTGTATATGTTAAAACAGTAATAGTTCTAGCTTCTTTCTTTAAATTCCCAAATATATGCACACTCTTCTGTGATCACTAGTATTACCTTTTGGCGTACACATCGATTCATTCACCATCCATCCTGGCCTACACTGACAGGTGTAATTAGTCGATACACACACAGCGTTCTCCACACATGAGGTTTGGTTCTCGCAGCTCTCGCCAGGTAAAACTCCTGAAAGTGACACCATGTAATTGTTTTATAGTCAGTTGATTTCAAGTTCACAGAGATTTGGACTGTTAATCCAAAACATTTTCCTTTTATACTTTACTAGAAATGCGTTATCTGCATTATAAGAATAATGTATTCATTTTAGGCTTAAAAGGGGTTGTGCGTTTAATTTGTACGAAGTAGAAAACGACGACATTAGCAATATTCGGATGCAATAAGCACTAATGAACTGTCATGTCAACATGCACTACATTATCATTATCATATGCGCCATTATTATGACACCTCAGAGGAACACTACGCCACCCACTGTAACACTTCAGAGTAACACTACGTCCACCACTCTAACACCTCAGAGTAACGCTACGTCAACCACTGTGACACCTCAGACTAACGCTACGTTCACCACTGTGACACCTCATAGTACCACTACGTCCACCAATGTGACTCCTCATAGTAAGACTACGTCCACCGCTGTGACACCTCAGAGTAACACTACGTTCATCACTGTGACACATCAGACTAACGCTACGTTCACCACTGTGACACCTCATAGTAACACTACGCCCACCACTGTGACACATCATAGTAACACTACGTCCACCACTGTGACACCTAATAGTAACACTACATCCTCCACTGTGACACCTCAGACTAACACTACGGCCACCACTGTGAATCCTCATATTAACACTACATTCACCACTGTGACACCTCAGACTAACACTACGTCCACCAAAGTGGCACGTCATATTAACACTACGTCCTCCACTGTGACACCTCACACTAACACTACGTCCACCACTGTGACACTTCACAGTAACATTACGTCCACAACTGGGACACCTCACAGTAACACTACGTCCACCACTGTGACACCTCAGACTAACGCTACGTTCACCACTGTGACACCTCATAGTACCACTACGTCCACCACTGTGACACCTCATAGTAACACTACGCCCACCACTGTGACACATCATAGTAACACTACGTCCACCACTGTGACACCTAATAGTAACACTACATCCTCCACTGTGACACCTCACACTAGCACTACGTCCACCACAGTGACACCTCAGAGTAACATCACCTCCACCACAGTGACACCTCAGAGTAACACTACGTCCACCACTGTGACACCTCAGAGTAAGGCTACGACCTCCACTGTGAAACCTCATAGTAACACTACGTCCACCATTGTGTCACCTCATAGTAACACTACGTCCAGCAGTGTGACACATCAGAGTAACACTACATCCACCACTGCGGCAACTCACACTAACACTACGTTGACAACTGTGACACTTCATATTAACACTACGTCCACCACTGTGACACATCCTAGCAACACTACGTCCACCACTGTGACACTTCACATAAACACTACGTACACTACTGTGACACCTCAGAGTAACACTGCGTCCACCACTGTGACACCTCACAGTAACACTACGTCCACAACTGTGACACTTCACAGTAACACTACGTCCATCACTGTGACACCTCAGACTAACACTACGGCCACCACCGTGACACCTCATAGTAACACTACGTTCATCACTGTGACACCTCAGACTAACACTACGGCCACCACTGTGAATCCTCATATTAACACTACATTCACCACTGTGACACCTCAGACTAACACTACGTCCACCAAAGTGGCACGTCATATTAACACTACGTCCTCCACTGTGACACCTCACACTAACACTACGTCCACCACTGTGACACTTCACAGTAACATTACGTTCACAACTTCGACACCTCACAGTACCACTACGTCCACCACTGTGACACTTCACACAAACACTACGTCCATCACAGTGTCATTTCACACTAACACTCCGTCCACAACAGTGACACCTCTGAGTAGCACTACGTCCACCCCTGTGACACTACACAGTAACACTACGTCCACCCCTGTGACACCTCAGAGTAACACTACGTCCACCACTGTGACACTTCAGAGTAACACTACGTCATCCACTGTGACACCTCAGAGTAACACTACGTCCAACATTGTGACACCTCAGAATAACGCTACGTCCTCCACTGTGACACTTCGGATAAACACTACGTCCACCACAGTGACACTTCAAACAAACTCTACGTCCACCACTGTGGCGCCTCAGAGTGACATTACGTCCACCACTGTGACACTTCCACGTAACACTACACCCACCACAGTGACGCCTCAGAGTAAAACTACATCCACCACAGTGACACCTCACATTAACACTACGTTAACCACTGTAACACCTCAGAGTAACAATACGTCTACAACTGTGACACCCCAGATTAACACTACGTCCACCAATGTGACACCTCAGCGTAACCCTACGTCCACCACTGTGACACCTCAAAGTAACACTACGTTCACCACTGTGACACCTCAGACTAACACTACGGCCACCACTGTGACACCTCATATTAACACTACGTTCACCACTGTGACACCTCAGACTAACACTACGTCCACCAAAGTGGCACGTCATATTAACACTACGTCCTCCACTGTGACACCTCACACTAAAACTACGTCCACCACTGTGACACTTCACAGTAACACTACGTCCACCACTGGGACACCTCACAGTAACACTACGTTCACCACTGTGACACCTCAGAATAACGCTACGTTCACCACTGTGACACCTCATAGTAACACTACGTCCACCAATGTGACTCCTCATAGTAACACTACGTCCACCACTGTGAAACCTCAGAGTAACACTACGTTCACCACTGTGACACATCAGACTAACGCTACGTTCACCACTGTGACACCTCATAGTAACACTACGCCCACCACTGTGACACCTCATAGTAACACTACGTCCACCACTGTGACACCTCATAGTAACACTACGTCCACCACTGTGACACCTCACACTAACACTACGTCCAGCACAGTGACACCTCAGAGTAACATCACGTCCACCACTGTGACACCTCAGAGTAACACTACGTCCACCACTGTGACACCTCAGAGTAACGCTACGTTCACCACTGTGACACCTCATAGTAACACTACGTCCACCACTGTGTCACCTCATAGTAACACTACGTCCACCACTGTGACACATCAGAGTAACACTACATCCACCACTGTGGCACCTCACACTAACACTACGTTGACAACTGTGACACTTCATATTAACACTACGTCCACCACTGTGACACATCCTAGCAACACTACGTCCACCACTGTGACACTTCACATAAACACTACGTACACCACTGTGACACCTCAGAGTAACACTACGTCCACCACTGTGACACCTCACAGTAACACTACGTCCACCACTGTGACACTTCCCAGTAACACTACGTCCACCACTGTGACACCTCACAGTAACATTACGTCCACCACTGGGACACCTCATAGTAACACTACGTTCATCACTGTGACACTTCACACAAACACTACGTCCATCACAGTGTCATTTCACACTAACACTCCGTCCACAACAGTGACACCTCTGAGTAGCACTACGTCCACCCCTGTGACACCTCACAGTAACACTACGTCCACCACTGTGACACCTCAGAGTAACACTACGTCCACCACTGTGACACTTCAGAGTAACACTACGTCATCCACTGTGACACCTCAGAGTAACACTACGTCCAACATTGTGACACCTCAGACTAACGCTACGTCCTCCACTGTGACACTTCGGATAAACACTACGTCCACCACAGTGACACTTCAAACAAACTCTACGTCCACCACTGTGGTGCCTCAGAGTGACATTACGTCAACCACTGTGACACCTCCGCGTAACACTACACCCACCACAGTGACGCCTCAGAGTAAAACTACATCCACCACAGTGACACCTCACATTAACACTACGTTAACCACTGTAACACCTCAGAGTAACAATACGTCTACAACTGTGACACCCCAGATTAACCCTACGTCCACCACTGTGACACCTCAAAGTAACACTACGTTCAAAACTGTGACACCTCATAGTAACACTACGTTCATCACTGTGACACCTCAGACTAACACTACGGCCACCACTGTGAATCCTCATATTAACACTACATTCACCACTGTGACACCTCAGACTAACACTACGTCCACCAAAGTGGCACGTCATATTAACACTACGTCCTCCACTGTGACACCTCACACTAACACTACGTCCACCACTGTGACACTTCACAGTAACATTGCGTCCACAACTAGGACACCTCACAGTAACACTACGTCCACCACTGTAACACCTCAGAGTAACAATACGTCTACAACTGTGACACCCCAGATTAACACTACGTCCACCAATGTGACACCTCAGCGTAACCCTACGTCAACCACTGTGACACCTCAAAGTAACACTACGTTCACAACTGTGACACTTCAAAGTAACACTACGTCCACCACTGGGACACTTCACAGTAACACTACGTCCACCACTGGGACACCTCACTGTAACACTACCTCCACCACTGTGACACCTCATGGTAACACTACGTTCACCACTGTGACACTTCACCGTAACACTACGTCCACCACTGTGATTCCTCACAGTAACACTACGTCCACCACTATGACACCTCATAGTAACACTACGTCCACCACTGTGACACCTCATAGTAACAATACGTCCACCACTGTGACACTTCACAGTAACACTACGTCCACAACTGTGACACCTTACAGTAACTCTACGACCTCTACTGTGACACCTCACAGTAAGACTACGTCCACCACTGTGACACTTCACAGTAACACTTCGTCCACCACTCTGACACTTCACAGTAACACTACGTGAACCACTCTGACACCTCATAGTAACACTACGACCACCACTGTGACACCTCGGACTAACACTACTTCGACCACTGTGACACTTCACATTAACACTACATCCACCACTGTGGCACCTCACAGTAACACTACGTCCACCACTGTGACACCTCATAGTAACGCTGCGTTCACCACTGTGACACCTCAGAGTAACACTACGTCCACCACTGTGACA